AAAAGTCAATCGGATTGAATTGGTCAGATCCGACTAAAATTTCGATCGGATTGTAAGGGGCGGTTTATTCCTTTTGTAATCCGAGCGAGAGGACATGTAAACCTGTCAATCAGAATGAATTAATTCAGATGGAAGCAAAAAGTGTCTATGTAAACGTACCTACTGACTGAGGTCGATGCACACATAATGACACTGTATCTGTGTGATGGTGAGATGTTAGACTGCAATATATTCATTTTTATTGCATCATTTTGATTGTAAACTAAGAACTACATGTGATTTAGGTCCCTGTTATTATGTTTTTGTGAAATGTAAGATGCATTTTTCTGCTGAATTTTTTTTTCTTCTTCTTTTTTTCCATTTGCCCATGGTGACACTGAATCAATTTCTTCTCCGAAACATTTTCTTGTTTCTTTTTCTATTTATATTGGATTTACAACTAAGAGAAACAAAATATATATTTTTATTTATAACATTTTATTATTTACAAATTTTTTTTACATGTATTATATTTTTACATTTTATTATTTATAAATAAATACTTTATATTTTATTTTATTTATAATTAGCATGTAGTTGTGTTTTTAAGCAAAAAAAAGCTTCCTCTGGCCTTAAGAATTTTAATTTTCATTAATTAATTAATTAATTAATTAATTCATTCATTCATTCGTTCATTCAATAACTTGTCCATTAACTTGTATAATATCTATTTATTTATTTTTTACTTAATTGTTTGTTTGTTTGTTTGTTTGCTTGCTTTTCATTAATATATATAAAATCTAATAATATTTACTTATTTAACAAATAACACCTTTTGGCCCTTAATAATTTAATAAATTATTTAATTTATATATTTTTGCCGCAAGTAGCTACTACTGGCCTTATTAATTACATTTGAATATATTTTTTCATATATATTCATCAATGTATTTATATATTTATTTATTTACTTCCTGCTAGCCCTTAATCAATCAATCTATCTATCTATCTATAATAATAATAATAATAATAATAAACTTTTAAATGGTACACACAACCTCTTATTAATTCAGCATGTTTTATTTAATTTTGTGTAAAAATGTGAATTTCACAGTTTGATGGATTGAGTCTGTATGAATGATGGATTGAGTCTGAAGTATCTGGGCTACTCCAAAATAGTTAGTTAAACAAATAAATACATAAATAAATAAATACAAAATGAATGAATGAATGAAAGAATGAATGAATGAAAAGCACATTATGGTCAGGATATAGCCAGCTCCATCTCCCAAACTCTCCACTTAATTATGAGGAGGAGTTGTTGGGCCGGGAGAGATTAAATTTCCCTGTGCTGTTAGCAGACTCCCTTCTTTACATGAAATCAAATCAAATAATGGCAGGGCAAGGCCAGACATGAGGTGCCGGGCGAAAGCCCACTCTAATGAAAATAAATCAATGAATTTTTGTGCTCTCGCTCTGAATAGTCAGCGGCCTCTCTTCCTCCGTCTTACCTCGTGTCATTCATTCAATCCGTCTTGCAGCAATTACATTCTCACCTCCCCATATGCAAGTGAGAAGGACGAGTGGCCGTCCAGCGCATTGTGAGAAACTATAATGCAACTGTACATAATAGGAATTGTGTTTCACTTGGAGATGAGAATGAACTGCTGTAGTGAGCCTATGCATCAACCCCCCTTTTTGCTCATGCCACCTATTGATTTTTATTTTTTCATTTAATTATTTATTTATTTTACCTCTGAGGCAAACGGGATTATTACCAGTGAAATAACTCCATTTCCCTGTGCGGTTACTGTTGGCAGGGTTTGCCGAATTTATAAATCACATTGTAAATGCAGTATAAATGATAAATTCTTTACTATTGTATAATGTTTTAATATTGATTTTTTAGCAAAAAAACGTTCTCTTTGTATTTTGCCTCACAATCGATGACTGAACTACAAACAGGGCTGTTTGTTCTTGGTCGTCAGATTTTCTTTAAGGATTATGGGATTTTTAAGTTTGGAAGACTTTCATCTGTATCACTGTACTAATCTTGGGCTAGTTTGGGATGAAATACTGGTCAATACTGCCTAGTGTGCAGTAAAAATGCCTATATTGCCTACTTTTTTGAATATTAGAAAGTTAAAAGTTATACATTACTATTCAACAGTTTGGAGTCAGTAAGATGTTTTTTTAATGTATTTCAAAGAATAAATTCTGCTTACTAAAGCAGCATTTTTTATACAGTAAAAAGCAGTAATATTGTGAAATATGTTTGCAAATTTAAATTTTAGTGATTTTAAAAATGTCATTTTTTTATTTTAATATATTTTAAAATGTAATTTATTGCTGTGATGCAAAGCTGAATTTTCAGCATCATTACTCCAGTCTTCAGTGTCACATGATCCTTCAGAAATCATTTTGATATGCTAATTTAGTGATCAAGAAACATTTCTAATTATCAGTGTTGAAAACAGTTTTTTTTGTAAACCATGCTACATTTTTTCATGATTCTTTGATGAATAGAAAGTTCAAGAGAACAGTAACAATTTAAACAATGTAACAATTTAAAAGTCTTTAATGTCACTTTTGCCCAATTTAATGCATCCCTGCCAAATAAAAGTAAAATAAAAGTAATAATAAAAATAAAATAAAAGTAAAAAAAAACAAAACATTTTAAATGGTACACACAACCTCTTATTAATTCAGCATGTTTTATTTAAAGCTGCAATCCGTAACTTTTTTTGGTTAAAAATGACCGAAATCAATATTTGAGCAAGTACATAACCAGCCGGTGTTCAAATCTATCGCCTTACTTTAGCCCGATTCACAACGGTTATCTTATAATAATGTTTTCTAATTTGAGTGATACGTGTAGGTTTTCGTGGGAAATTCGAGCATGGCACTGCGTCATTACGTCACGTCTGTAAACATAAAGAAGTTGTCCCGGCTTATAGGCTATCGCATGTGCGGATCCTGCAGGTGGCCGATCGTTTATAGCCTTTTCTCACAGCAGCTGGGATAATTAAATGTATAAAGGATTATGTTTATAAAACACATGTGAATGATTACTCAAAATTATGCATTTTTATGATACCTACCTATATTCAAGTGTTGATAAAAAAAAGAATGCTTTAAGCTAGAATAAAACTGATTTTTTTGTTTAAAAGTAGAGGCTCTGATTTTTATTTTGTGTATTGCATATTCAAATATTCATACAGCAAAATATTCTGGAGGCTAATTTGATTACATTTTCAGAGTAACTTGTCCAACACTGTTTATAAAGCACATTTAAAAACAACAACTGTTGTACCAAAGTGCTGTACAATTAGGAAATACAGTAAAGGAAACAAAAAACTGAATTAAATAGAATAGCAAAATAAAATAAAAAATCATGCAAATAAAAAAACCCTAAACATCTCAAGCAACACAATAAGCTGAAGAGAAACCTTACTGTATACAACTGAAATCAGAAGGAAATTAACCTTCTGAATGAAATTGAGACATTATGATACACACTTCATCAAAATGCTCAAGACTAGTCGTGAACCTGATCAGTTTTGTCATTTCTTTCTCTGTTCTCAGGCATGGTGAGCTGTGATACTGTGGTGAACATGCGTAAGGTGACTCACCAGCGGGTTCAGGAGCCTCTGTCAGGTACGGCCCTCCTGCCGTGTGTTTTCACCCTGCGCCCGAGTCCTTCGAACGAACCCCCTCGCATCAAGTGGACCAAACTGTGGGGTCAACGCGGCCCGGATGGCCTACAGAAGCAGCAGTCGATTCTGGTGGCTAAAGACAATATAATCAAGGTGAAGAAAGCCTTCCAGGGCCGCGTGACCTTGCCGGGATACCCGGAGAATCGCTACAACGCCAGCCTGGTGCTGACAGGCCTGCGATCCAGCGACTCTGGGATGTACCGCTGTGAGGTCGTGGTCGGCATTAACGACGAACAAGATACAGTGCCCCTTCAGGTCACGGGTAATGTAGCGCACCGCAGAATGCTAATACACGCAGCTGTGATTATAGAAATCAGATTCATCATAAAGCTACTGCTGACTTCTTTCGTCTTAAAGGGATAGTTGTTCCAAACCTGTATGAGTTTCTTTCTTCTGTTGAACACAAAATAAGGTATTATGAAGAGCTGAAAAGTTGATGGTCCCCATTAACTTCCATAGTATGGGGGAAAAAAATACTATGGAAGTCAATGGGGACCAGAAATTGTTTGGTTAAAATGTTCTTCAAAATATCATCTTTTGTGTTCAGCTGAAGAAAGAAACTCATACAGGTTTGAAACAACAACTTATAGGATTTCCGTTTTGGGGTGAACTTTATTGTTTATGTTTTGTGCAAATTGCGATTAACTTCTCTTTTCAGTGGTTTCGCAGGCCTCTGGGTGAAACGCTCTCGCTGAATGACTTGATACATTATTGAATCTGAAAAACTGGCTGTAATTACAGTCCATCAGACCACGGAGGCATGGACCAAACAGCTGCTACGTTTTTTGCATGCTCAGATTTCTGCCCAAACCTTGATGAAGTTAGTTAGACTTCATTCGCTGCCAACATGCAGCACTGTGCTTGCGTTTGTGTGACGGTGTGGAGTGGAAATGTTCAAGGGGTGAATTTAACAAACAGTCGTGACATTTTTACACGCAACACGATATTCAGAGCGAAAAACTTGTCTTATTCACTGAGCAAACTGGTTTAATCGGGTGCTAAATGTGCTGCAGTAGTGACACAGCAATTAAGTCGATGCCATTCTTTTAAGCGCAAAAGTAGATTACGTTTATTATAGGTTAACAAAATTCAGTGCAATTGTGCTATTGTAATATTGTAATAAAATGTAATGTAATAAATAAACAATAATAGTCATATTAAAAATAATAATAATTAATCATTATAAAAAATAATGTAAAACATCACAAAATAATATAATAATATGTAATAATAATAATAATATGAATATGTAAATTAATAGCATTTTTATATAAAAATATAATATATATATATGTATGTAATA